GATGGATGGATGGATGGATGGATGGATGGATGGATGGATAGATGGCTAGCTGGCTGGGAAGGTGAATGCATAGGTGGGTGGATGAAAAGAAACAGTGTTTCTTGAATTCCCAAAGTGACCAGAAAACAATAGCTTCAAGTCAAGGTTAAACTTTATGTGTTCATACATTAATATTTTACTGTTTTTTTTATCAAGTCCAACTTAGACTTGGAACAATATTGTTTTGTGGTCACTCAAGCAGATTTAATAGAGGTCTACATACCTGTGCTACGGTAGTTGGTGTTTTCAGTCTTTCTGAAGTAGATTTAAAGGTTGAAGTTATTTGTACTTCTTTTTTATTTTTATCTTTTGGCAAGTAGTGAGCAGGGCCTGGTAACTGGTCTTCATGTCGGCGAGTGGTCAAAGCAATTCTGTCAGCGGTTGAGCCAAAAGCACCCTTTCTTGAACTCTCTAGACTAAAAATACAAAACAAATTGCAATTGAAAGACTCAGAAAAAATTCTGAGTCTTGAACAGGATTTGAACCCATACCGTCAGAATTTTTCTCAGTCTTTCAATTTGCAGCTGCATAAGTTGCTTCACATACTACGAGGATCAGCTCAATTTGATACATAACAACCGCAGCACAAATATATATTTCCTATATATTCTCATACACACAATGCTGATCATAAAGGCCAGTTCAGACGGTATGATTTTTGCCTACGACTATCGAATACAACACACTCGCGCCATCCTACGACTTCAGTCGTAGCATGTAAATCAAGCCTACAACTTGCCTACGACAGACGCGAGCGTGTTGCATACAATAGTTGTAGGCGAAAATCGTACCATCTAAACTGGCCCTAAGTAAATTTATTCAGACTACTCACTGTGCTTTCTTCATGACATCAGAGCTCAAGCCAGGTATGTTGTAGGTACCTGGACCTAGTGAAAATCAATGGTAATCATTATTAATGGCACTATGATGATGATGACAGTGACGGCAATGATGATGATGACAATACCTAGTAATACCTTACCTGGTGTTCTGCGGTATTGTCTTTCTCCCTGGAACCTCACAGATGTCTGTCCAAAAGGGCTCCGCTTCAAACCAGTGGTCCTAAAAATAAATGAAAAATTATAAATTAATAGACCTATCCTGAATTCACTTGACTGGTCACAAAACAATGGTTTCAAGTCAAGGTTGAACTTGATGAATAAAAGAATCAAGTTCAGTCTCAACTTCAAACCATTGTTTCGCGGTCAGTCAAGCGAATTCAGGATAGGTCTATTTACATACTTATGAATATACATAAACGTTTAATAAAGACCCCTTGCACTGAGTCCCAAGATAAATTATTTTTCTTTTTTGTATAAGAAAAGACAGCCTATTGTTTTGTCCCCCAGAACCATTAATTCCTCTAGGAAATCAATGCAGCAGGTCTATTACATATTTAAAATATCTATTATTACTATGTACCTTTTTAAGACTTCCAGTGAGTTGCGTGGGTCATTGTACGATCCAGGGGAAGGAGAAATACCCTTTGAATTATCAAATCTCTGAAATAATAATAACGATAAAATAGTTTGAACTCAAACATCTTTATACCACTTCTTCTTAAAAATTCTTTGTCTTTTTCAAAGGTTTGATTCCTTTGGGAGTCACAACACAACCCTTTGAATGTTATTCATGATACCCTGGACATGGCTAATTCAAAGATGTATGGTTTGACGGAGGGAGGAAAGCTAAAGAAAAACCCTTGAATCAAGGGAGAGACCTAACAAACATTACTGATGCTAAATCGGGGAATCGAACCTGAGACCCCAGAGGTAAGAGGAAAGTATGCTACCACTTTCTACCCACTGCCCTTGATTACGATCCCTTGGTTGAGGAAAGAAAACCAGAAAAAACCCTGAATCAAGGGAGCAACTTTTAAAACAAAGTCTAATTCATTATACTTTTGGTGCCAAGACCCTAGAGGTGAGAGGCTAGAGTATTACTGCTATGCATGTTCCACCCTTGATTCCCAATAGTGCTGATTAAGCTAACAGAAGGAACAATAAAAAGGATTCTTGTATCCAGACACAAGGCAATAGAAAATTTGTGATATTTCTTATTGATTTTTAATACCTTAGCTTGGGATCCAAAAGGAGCTACAACAATCTCATCCTGTTCTTGTTTTACTGAAGACTGGATTCTTGCTTTGAATTGACTCTTGATTTCATACTGGCCTGGCCCTGGTACACCTTTCTTTTCCTCAGACTTCACAATCACTTCATGATAGCGAGGGAGCTGTTGTTAAACAATTGGAATAAATGCCTTAAAACTCATAAATACTTTAACTAGAACAGCCTCAAAGATCGAACCCTGATATAACCTTAGGACTGATGAAAGTCAGGGCATGGACTATTCACAGATTGAATCTTTGTTTGAGTTGTATCCATATTCATTGTCTTGTCTGGTGTGCCACTTTCAAACAAAGAAACGATATTCTAGGGAAGGACACGTTGTATGTAATGAGAAACATTGCACCACATAATAAAGTGTAAAGGACGCCACACAAATGAAGGTCTATATAAGGTCTATATATTCCTCAAAAAATATTCTTATCTCACCATAGCCTCAAATGGTTGTCTTCTACTTTCCTTGGTGTACTGTTAAAAAACCAGCAAGTAATGACAATGATGCAATAACAGGAAAAAAAAAAAAATACACAAAGGATTACAAAGCAACACATGATAATAATCTTAAATCCTTTTTCTGAGAGAGCGAAGGTGACACATTGTGATTTAACTTGCATAAAAACATCTTTTTTCACATGTTTTATAAGGAGTCAACCACAATGCATCTTGTAGATCTCCAAACTGACGTTTTTTGAAATAGGCATGTATATGAATACTCACAATATCCATAGGCATTAAATCCTCTGTGTTCTCTGCGTATGGATCATAATCGCCAGGCCCCGGTCCCTTGTTCCCTGTTGGTTTAAAAAATAATGAAATTAGGACAGAGTTTTTTAACATATAATTCACAAATTGTTACAAACACAATCATTTTAATCATGGTTTACATGAATATTATTGTAAGTTTGTCTTCTCATAGTGGCCAGCATTTAATATTGCTAGGTACCGTACAATAAATAAACTCAAATGCCTTCAATGAGGTCACAGCCATTAACATATTGGAAATATAAATCAAAAATATGGCAGACCATGGTTGCTTGTTTGGTTGTTAGTAATGAAGAAAATGCTCTCTCAACAATGATACAATGCAAGCAGAATGTAGTAAATGAAAAATTAAAATAACTGACCTTTGAATTGCATTCTTTTAGAGGTTCTGTTACTGAAATAAATTCCTTTGTACTTAGCGACAGGAAGAGTGGCATTCTTAGAAGCGTAAATATAAAACAAATAAATAAATAAATTTTATTTTATGATACATTGTCTTAAAACAAGAAGAGTTTAATGCTTACATGTTTGACGTCATAATATGCTGGTCCTAAAGTACTATCCTTTTGAGGTATCTCCTGTTTGCGTAGAGTTCCATCGACAGCTTCTTCATACCCATAGGCCTTTCCTGGTGACGGGATTGAAGGGGGATCTGGCTTACGCTTGAAAGTAATTCTGTTGGTCTTAAATACCTGAAGATAAGATATAAATACTGGTAAAACAATTGAATTCTAACATTGGATTTCCCCAAGGTTCATCACTGGGACCATCACTAATTTTGAATGATTAACGTATCTTATTTTACTCACAGATCCTTGAGATCCTTGAGATCCCTCTTGATCTTTCTCTGGAGGTCTGTTTATCGGCACATCTTTGATCCAATCTTTCCTCTTTTGCAGGTTATATGCACCTGGACCCGGAGTTTTAATATACTTATCTTTAAACCTGGCAGTCTAGAACATCAAAAAGATGGAGTCAATCAAATCAATTGTGGACAACAATGCTTTATAACAACTGTTTTTTTTCTATATGAACGTTAGTACATTTTAAATTCATTATTCAATTTTAACGATTCTAACACTATAATTAAACTTATTTAGGACTCATGCTTTATGCTTTGTCAAGAAATAGAAATATTATTCATCTTCTTAAAGAGTTCTTTTTGTTCTAGCGACAAAGACTTACTTTGTTGCTCAAAGTATGTCCACCAACTACTCTGAACTGTGCTTGACCAGGATCGTATTGTCCGGGGCCAGGGGCAGCTACAACGCTGTCATTCACATCCAGAAACGTCTCTCTACCAGTCATGGATAAGAATGGAGCGTATCCATCTAAAATAAACAGTCAAATTGTCTTATTCTTGCTTCTCTTTTGTTCAAAATGGTCAAAAATTCAAGAGAACACTCAGTCGAGTTATAAACTTTACCGTATCTTCGTCGGCTTGCGTCGGGAACTTCGTAAGTTCCCGGTCCAACAGCAATAGAAGTGCCATGTGAGGGTTGTGTAAGAGCTCTAGAAGCTCGATCGTACATGTTTTTTTAGTATTATTGTGTAAAAAACTACGAGAAAAGATCAAACCTTCTTTTCCTTGTGGAAGCCGTTCTGCTTCTAAACATGGCTTCTTGTTGCCTTGGAAACGACCCTTGCATGTAATTATACCTTGAATTACCGCTGACATAAACAGCACTAAAACTTTTTCAAAAAAATTAATTAAAATTTAATAAAAAAATAATTAAAAACGCTATATTTACAATATAAATATACCGTGTAAGAATAAGAGAACATTCACCAAGTTCACTTCATATTTATATGTAATGGTTGTTCAAGCTTTCAAAATTAATGTTTCCATTGCAAATTATTTGATTAAAAACTACTTGTTTTACTAGCTATGAGTTTTTCGTGCAGTTATTTTACTGTTTGATGTTATCTAGTAATCCTTCTTTTTCAAGAAGACCAAAATATTCCTCATGTATTTCAACTGCCAGTGTTTTGCTACAGCTTTCTTTTCCTTTGTTGGCATGTTGCCCGTTCTCTTTGACTGGGTCGGTTCTTACTTCACTCAACCCCGGATTTTTGCTTCCACAGCCCATGGAATGCGATCCTTCTTCTAAATAATCCAGAACTTCGGGCTTCGCAACAACAAGTTCTAACAAAGCTAAGCTATCTCCTTCTGCAGTGTGGCTATCAGTGATCTCTTTTCCAAACTGCCTCTCGTAAAGGTTGCCAAGACTGAAAGATACCTTCTTTGGAAGCGTAAAAACATTCAAATGCTTAGAACACTCTTCTCCCCTTCGCATTATAGGATGGACTGTTTCTTGGTGCAAATTCTTGAAAGCTTTATATGAATCCGAGACTTTGATGTGTGGAGGAAATTCTAGTCCAACTTCGGCAAACTCTGAAGCGAGGATTTCGAAGTCGAACCGATCGCCGCTGTGCGCTACCAAACAAGATGGTTGTGGTTGTCGAAGGATGAACGATAAAACGTTTTTGGCGAGTTCTTCATTGAATCCTTTATGCTGATCAAGATCCTCGTTGGATAATCCAGTAAGACTTTCTGCTCCTGGTTCAATATCTTGTACAGGGCGAACGCAAACAGACATTTTATCCACGAGTCTTGGAATGGTTTTCTTCGAGTTTAAGGACGATAAGAGTAGTTGCTTCTTATGGATCGCGATAAAACAAAGTTCTGTTATCTCTATCGGTCTTTGGAGGCCGGTAGTTTCGAGATCGAAGAATATAAACGATTTAAAAGAGGTATTTTTATGCATTTTGCGTGAAAATGAACGACAAGACCAAACAACACGACGCAGAATATACATTTCACTAAATAAAAAACTCCCGCCAAATAATACACTAGTTACAGATCTCGCGCTATGCGTATTCCACAGGAGCCCCAAATCTTACCTCTGGGCAATAAATCATCCCACCCCCCTACTAAATAAGAGCAAGAAAGCATAAATTATAGCTTTAAATCTATAATGGCGAATAAAGCACATTTATTTCATAACAATCCCCAAAGAAGATCTTCAAAGTACATTCAAGAGTCGATACACAAAATACATATAATATTTAGATCCCTTATTCATAAGTTAAATGCTATTCCATGACTTTTAACTGACATGGGCTCCCTGTGTTTTTTGTAACGCTACAGACATATTAACAAAGAAAAAGAGAAAATATAAAAAATATATTTCTAATAACCTAATAACCAAGCGTAAACTTCCACTGTCACTACAAATGGTTCAAAATATTGTCCAAATTCGTGTATTTTTGCCATCGGAGGTTTTCGCTTTCCCGCCCTTATTGTCTTCTTTATTACTTAGTTGAAAACTACGAATGTCTTTTCTACTCATGTTTTTGCTATGCGGAGAACGACAAGATCAGAAATTTAAGCAGTATCTTTAGAAGTATCACGCAAATTGAAGAAACAACGAAAATCATGGAACCTGCCATTGCCTTTTCATTCGTTATTTGACTACAACTATTCTATATTTTAATCAAAAGAGAAACATTTAAAGTGACTTGTTTTCGTATGACTGTGAAATGGCACGGCCACGGCAAGGAATGACGTACCACATTCTGTGGACCAATCACAGCGCGCATTGTCGCTGCTTAGCGATGAACATCCTCGAACGCAGCACCGTCCTGGTACGGACATGTCCATACGTACCGAGGCTATTTCACATTCAAATTTTTTTTCTCCAAAGCAGAGTGATGCATAAAAGTTAAGATTATAGATAGGCGTTCCTTGACGAAGAGAGAAGAGGAGAGGAATGTGTGTTTGGTAGCCCTGTACCCTTCTTTCGTTTTCCCCTTTCTTTCATTCTTTCTTTCCATTCATTCATTCTTTTTTTTCACGAAAAGCACTCTATATCCATACCAGGAGTGGGTGGGAATGAAAATCATGACTCGATATAAATGAACTTTCCCCTCGTCGTCTAGCAACGCCTGTCTTAATTTAGCGTTTAATTTCGATTTTAATTTTCACGGGTTTTCCATTGCAAATAGCTTCAGTCCAAGCCCTCTTTTCGTGCCTCGTGAAGCAGTAGCTCGCACCTTTAGGTACCATACGCTGGCAATGAGTGCGCAATACTGGTTCAAGCCACAAACCAACAAAGCTTCCAATCAGGGCTCCGCTATCAATCCCAGCGGTGACGAGTCCTAGGCAAAACTCCTGATATCTCGGCTCTATTGAATCACGTACAGATACCAAAGTGTTCGCATACACACTACCCGACAAGAAACCCACTAGGAAAGACATAAATAAAACTACAAACGCGTTGTCGATGAATCGAAACCACGACGCGCACACGGACAGCGCGAAAAGTCCTGTCAACAATACCGATAGAATCCATGTCTTGTTTACAGCTATTTTAACTGCAACCTGCGGCTTGACACAGAATAGAATACCAAGATACGACCGTGATACTAACTCCCCAAGCCCGTTAACAGCCACATAATATACGTAATGGTCTCTTGGATGGAAGGGAGAGTTTTGAAACGACATTGTGGTGAACACAGATTGAATGGTAAGGTACTGCATGATGTAGGCAACGCAAAGTGAAACCATAAATGGAGCTATTTTCATGGCAGCGGAGAGTTTTTCCGACCATGCAAGCTGTACAGGATCTCCTTTACTGTTGATTGGGACGACGCTGTATTTCGTGCTGTTGTAGGTGGCAGCAATGGCATGTGATTTGATGCGATCTTTGTTGAGAATGTAGTAGCATACGAGAATCAACAGGGAACCCGCTGAAGCGAAAATCATCGTTTCTTGCGGTGACACACAAGCCCACGATGTCAGACCTGGAAATGAAATAAATGGAAAAATAAGTTCCTCCGTTCATTCCCCTTTTTTCTTTCTTCCTGTCTTTAATTCTTTCCTTCTTAATTATGGGAAGCATTGGTCCGAACTTAAGGAAAAACTGGATCGAGTTGGAATTGTAGTGCATTGTGGGGCATATTTCAAAACAGTGGCTATATATTTCGTCCCATTGCAGTTCCATGATGCATTGCAGTGACAACTCGACCCAGGTTTCCCCTCAACCTCGGAATGCAACGGGATCGGGAATCGAATTGCAATTTGAATTGCAATGGACGAGAAGGGATATTTTCATTATCATTTATCGATATAAGTGATAATTAATTTCTACTGTACTGAAAAAAAGCCATTAAAATGTTTTTTCCACGTTTTTTCCCAATGACTCGGTTACCTTGACAACATAATGATAAAGAAAAATAATCTGTCTCTCACGAAAAAGCATTAGAAAATCCATCAAAAATCACAATCCAAGAGCTTGTAAAACATTAATAAATAATTTCACTTGAAAAACACATGAACATTCTAGAAATGTTCTATTTAATTTGCATGCTATCAATTCACGTTTTAGTTGAGATATTAAGACAGGTTTGCCATCGATTATTATCCGCGAATAAACAAAATAAACAGTTTTAAATTTGCCAAAAAATATGAATTATTAATTAAATTTCGATTTTTTAATCATAAAATCCGAGTAGACAGACCATTTATAAAGCAACCGAATAGTTTAAAATTTAGAATCTTTCCGAATTACTTTTATATTGTCACTAGTGATAAATAATAAAATTTCTTTAAATATAACGAATGAGGTTAATAGAAGCGAACTATCTTGATGATTCATTAAGAGAAAGAAGCTTAATATTTACAGCAATTTTCTTGTCACCGGGGAAGCTAATATTCTTTTCATTTTATGAATAATAATATTTAAAAAAACGTTTAACTTAAAAAGCTGGCCTTTTCGAAAAGATGCTACGTACGTTCGTGTTTAATCAGCTTTTCTGCATGTGAACAAACTCAATGCAATGTAAAGAAAACCTTTTTTTCATTTCATCGCCGGCTGACAACAGAGAATTTTTCTCATCTAAAATTGATGCCTAAAAATTGATTCCTAAACTGATATTTTCACCTCTTTTTTTCAAGAACTTAATTTTTAATATTATGATAATGCGTACGCCAGTAAAACTTCCACCCTTTTAGCATCGTATTGTTTCATAAAAATGGTTGCAAAAGCATATGTGTTGCGAAAAGCACCATTTCAATAATGAAAACGAGTGAAAAATTAGAAATGATTATCACAGCTTCCGAAAGGAAATATAACTATATTTATTATCAATCTTTAACCAAGATACCTTTTTTCTCCCGTAAGTATCGTCATTAAAAACTCTATTAGGATATTGTTTGATATAGCTGTTACCGTTGACTTTGAGTTCCTCTTCCCAAACCAGCATATATATAGCCGCATTTGTGATTTGTTTAGATTAGATAAAAGTCTGCAAAAAAACCTGTTCTTGAATCAAAGTGATCTTTCGGGCATAGAGAGTTTTTTATCAGAGTTTATTTTCCATTTTCCAAGACTGTTTAATTTTAATCCTAAATACAGCAAGTTAAACATACGAAAAACACGTATTTTTTTTTTACCCTATCGATCCGTTTTGTTTACACACGGAACTGTTTTTAAAAGTTGATATGAAAAATATTCCCTCAGTAATATGTCTTTAAATAACCGGAGGGAAAAAACTTTAAAAATAAGAACTTTTGGTAATCGAGGATGCCTACCAGGAATAGCAGTAACTCGTATTTATTTTCGGGATAAAATTAGGGCAAAATTGCAAGTGAATCTTTAATTTAACGCGTACGTCGCCAGATATACTCACTTCAAGTCGGTAAACGGATCTCACCACTTAGTACTAAGTTCAAGAATTGAATTATACTTTATGTTTAAAGATAACAAAGCATGATACTTTTGGAGGGAAAATTATATATCTTAATTATTATAAGAAAATATATCAAGGAAATATAATATTATAAGCAATACACGTACCAAGATAATAAACAGGTCCAACAAGGATGCCTGCTCCACTCCCTGCGGCAAACGAGGTCACAGATATATCCCCATAAAAAGTTCCCAAAGCTAAGAAAGTTATTTCTCCCAAAGCATGAGCAACAGCGTTGAGTGATACCCCAATGATTTTTAAATAAGGATTCTCGACAAACGATATGACGACGAATCCCCCAGCCATGAATGCGAAGACAGCTAGTATGCGAATAAAATACGACATCTTCTGCATAAACCAAGGGAAAGTGTAGACTATGAGTACCATAGGCCCTACATGAGCGATTATTACTGCTGTTGTAGGTATATATGTCCCTCCAAGTATGTCCTGAGAGCCAGAAATGATGATAGAAAAAAGACCATGCATTATTAGTCCAACTCCGAAGAAACTTATGATAGTTCGAATTCGCTCGCCTTGATCCATTTCTTCGGCTTCTTCATCGGGGAAATGCAAATATCTTGGAGTTGTTTCTTCAGAGGAAGAATCACCCTCTTTACCGCTCGCTTCTTCAGCCATTTTAGAGTCAGATCGAGCAGTTTTTTGTGATTTAAGAGTACATTTGTGAACGGTGGTCAAATGGCTAAGCGCTCCAGCCCTACATGATCATGACGCTACTAATTTGAATAGCAAATATAATGAGTGAAATTTTTTGGTTGGGTAGGCAACGGTAAGAGCAGAGAAACCTTGTTGGATTGAAGCAACTGAATTCGATTGACACAAGTTGGTTTTAGCTCATGTTTCTAAACGGTTTGTAATAACAATTAGATGACATAATCAGTTATAAGGTAATTAATTTTCACTTAGTGGGAATGTTAAAATATTGGCGGATCTTAATTATTCGAGTTGGTTTACTTTGGATATGCTTCACTTATTATTGAGGATATAATTATACAAATAATAATAAAAATAGCTGAATCGCAGTAAAATAAAAGTGTTGGAAATATGATTTAAGTGCTAGAGCTTGCAATGCTGATCGACAAGAGCAGAAGCTATGATACCGTGAAATATTTTGCGGCATATACGAAGTTATCAGTCATTCTTTAATTGGTAAAGACCCCTTGCAGCACTTAAAAATGCGGCTCAATCTGGGGGACAAAACAATAGGTTCCAATTCTCAAAAGATAATGGTACTCTTTTGCTTTGTTCCCCAGATCGAGCTGCTTTTACGGAAGGGGTCTATAGTGAGTTCTTATACTGCGTTTTTTTAATGCATTCCAACTGCACTCAAAGTTCGACAAACACTTTGGATTTAAATTAATATTTGATGTATGAGCGCAATGAAGCAGAAGAGTAAAAATCGATGTTGACACGTACTCCTTATCTTAATAAAAGAGTAGTTAAAGACAAGGTCGTGGTTGACCTCTGTGCCGTTAGTCTCCACCACAGCCGCTTTTAGTGTCGTCACGCAACGCTCAGGGGAGAAAGCGTTGCGTGACGACACTGAAAGCGGCTGTAGGGGAGACTACTGTGCCGTATGCTATCCATGGCCCTCATGGCGATGAGATAGAGGTCATAGCCCAAAATGACAAACTTATATTAAAGTTTGCGAAAGTCGATATAGATATATTTCAGGGTAACATCTTCACTCCTTAGTTCTTCTCTGCTATAAAATTTAACACAGGGATCCCAAAAGAGAATTTATGGAGTAGCCTCCGGAGTAGGCTTATTTCAGGGGCGTAGGCAGGATTTTGCCTTGCCAAAAACCTATCACGTGACTTCAGGTGTCTAGGTTTCGCCTGGGGGGGAGGGGGGAGGGGGAGCAGGGCCCCTTTGCCTACGCCCCCGCATTTACTCCAGATACTCCACACACGCATTGTCTCACGATCATGATCAGACATGAGTGAATTTCCCAGTCTTCTAATCATTATTTATCAATATCATCCATAATGTATGAATCTGATATTACCATTCCAAGATGAATTTTTCTCCACGCAAAAGTAAATATCCCACACAGCAAAACTCGAATAAATAGTGTCAGACTTGAAATTCACCCGATTATTAACCCCTCATTATAAGTTTCATCGATAAGACGTCCTGTCAGACTCAGATTAATCTCCTTCGCACTTATTCGCAAAATAATTACAACTTAAAATACGACACTTTTTAAATAATGAGGGAATGTTCACAAAAATATTTTTTCTTTGAAGATACAAAAAATACCAGTCATAGAAGAAAGCGGTTGAAAAAATGTCTTTTGGAAAGCCATTTGAATTGTTTATGATACATTCAAGTGATAAATAGATTCATCGTAAGAGTTCAAGCATGGTGCTCTGGCGATCCGTGGGCTTCCCACAGTCCATTCCTTCTTTTGGTGTACGTCAAACGACTTTAGAAATGATATTTGGCCGGTTCTCTTACGTCATTATTTGATTTATGAAACTTGAACCTGATTGGTTTAATTGTCGTGACCAGAGTAACAGGACAAGCCAGGACAGCCTGTTCTCTTACGTCATTATTTGATTTATGAAACTTGAACCTGATGGGTTTAATTATCGTAACCAGGGTAACAGATCAACTTGTCTTTTGACTAAGTACCACTTGATTAAGACGATGAAATTGAGACGAAAAACGGTAGGAAGGCAAGCAGCTCTACTTTACTGATCATGTTACCATTGGTCTACAAGAAATGAATGGGAAAATGAACGATTGAATGAATAAATAAATGGATGAGTAAATGGATGGATGGATGGATGGATATGGATAAATAATGTTGCTCACCTTGCCAATAGCCTCCAGTGTCGCCTCTATGACGTCACTCTTCTTTGGTACATTCAAAGTCGAGGCAAGAAGTTCCTGAAACAACAACACAATTTTCATGGTCGTTCTCCAGTGCTTTCTGTCACTGATCCTTTTTGGCTTCGTTTGGGGGGGGG